TTTTTTTTTTTTTTTCTTTATCTTTTTATAAAGATTTTTTTTTTTTTTTTTAGCGAATCCTTAAAATATTTCAACTCGCTTTCACTGTCATCTTTCTATCTTTCTCTCTCTCTTTCTTTTTTTTTTTTTTTTTATTAATAATAATTTGATAAATGGCATATCCATTTTGAATTTGGAGGAAATTAATTTTATTTTCTTACATGTCAAAAAAAAAAAAAAAAAAAATTGTTTGATAACTCATTTAAATTTTTTTCAAATCGTAATACTTTTTTCTCTTTTTTTTAATATAAACTTTAATTTTATTGTATATCGAATAAGCATGCACACACGCACGCGCACACCCGATACGAATTTACCATTATTATTATTATTATATAATACGGTTGCATTTAAGTTTTCATATCCTTAGGAAAAATAAAAAAGTGGTGAGAATGATGATGAGAATGATGATGATGATGATGATGACAGTGGTTGTTGCGGAGGAAGAAATTCATGCCGGAAGTTGTTGAATAAGAGAAAGTTTCAGGTGTGTGTGTAAGTTTCTTTAGGGTTCACCCATGAAAGTTTACTCGTCCGAAACAGTAAAAATCTCTCACATAAGAGAGAGAGAGAGAAAGATTTTAATAAAAAAAAACTTGTAGAATTTATTATAGCGGTTAATACTTCACATCTTATTTTTTTTTTTTTCGTGTGTCTTGTTTTTTTTTTTTTTTTTTTTTGGACGTTTGCAACATTATTATTATTATTATTATCAGGGTATCAGAGTGTATAATTATTAATATAGGGAGTATGAAGCAAAAGCAAACTTTTGTGTTTGAGGTTGAAAAAAAAAGGAAAATGGACTCAACTTTATTAAATAAAAAAATTTTTTTTTTTTTTTGTTTAACTTAAATCGTTTAAGAATTAATAATAATAATAATAATAATAACCGGAAGTTTTAATTTTCTCATCCATTGTTTTCTTTCTTTCTTTCTTTTATCTTTCACTTATTAAAGTTATTATTAAAAAAAAAAATAAAACAAAAGATGTATGTGTATGTACGACTGTTCTAGAAATTTCATGTGAAAAAATTATTTTAATTTATATTTTTTTTATAGTTTTGATACAATAAATAATGAAGTTTATTATTATCATTATTATTATTATTATTATTACTACTTATTCGGTTTGTAAGAGAGAAATTAAAAAAAAAAAAAAATGGGAAATGAAAATGCTAAAAAAATAATAATAATAATAAAAAAAATGAGAGACTTTTGACAGTCTTGCGAAAAACCAAAAGTATTATTATCATTAAAAAAAACTATTTTATTGACATAAATATTTTTAACTTTTCCATCGTATGCGGGGGTGGATGGGGGAGGTAGGGAGGAGGAGGAGAAAAAAAATTGGTACTTTCTAGTAAATAAGAAAAAGGGTGGTGGAAGGGAAAATAATTGACTGAAAAATTCTCTTTATATTATCATTATAAATTTGATTTGAATATTGGAATTTAATACCTGAATGGAAATAATAATAATAATAATAATAATATTTAATTATATTAAATTATTGTTATTATTCATGAAACTTTATTTGGCCTTTGATCGTAGAAATTTTTTTATGTAGAAACTATGATTCAGCTAATAAAAATATACGTTTATGTATATATGTATATGTATTATGAAAACTTTCTAAATAAAATTATTTATTTATTTATTTATTTACTTATATATTTAAATTTTGAACTTGTTTATTATTATTATTATTGTCATAAAATTATAAATATTTTTATTTTTATTTTGCAAACACGCGCACGCGCACACAATACAATTATTATTTTTTCTAATCAAATTCATTTAAAAAAAAAAAAAAAAAATTTTTTTAAATGTAATTTACTCGTTTTTTTCATTTTTCGTTACTTTTTATCACCTTTTACTTTTTTTTTTCTCTCTCTCTCTCTCTCTCTCTCCTCCTTAGCAATCATTATTAAATTTAATTATACCTTATTATACCTTTGTGGTTGTAAAGCATTAAATTTCTCTTTAATGACATAATAAGTTTTTTTTTTATGATTTTTTCAAAAAAAAAAAAAAAAAATTCGTGTTTAAATCAAAGTCGACCCAACTTTTGTATCGGTTTTTCTCTTTAAAGTTTTTTTTGACTTTGAATAGATAATAAATTTATTATTATTATTATTATTATTATTATTATTATTATGATTGTATATATATGATTCGATTGCATGTTTTCGAAAAGAAAAAGAAAATTTTCTTTTTGTTTAAAACTGTCATTTTCAACTCATAATTTTCATTTTTACGTTAATGCAGTGCAATTAAAATAAAACGAAGTGATTAATTAAACTTTTTTTTTTTTTAATTTAAAACGAACAGGTTTATTATTAATCCTAAATGCACTTAATATTATATTTTAGGTTCAAATGGCTTTTACAAATTTAAAAAAATAAAAAAAAAATTTTAATAACCGTAAATATAGGCTTTTAAATAACAGGTTTTTTTATTTATTATATATATATACATTTGTTAAGGAAAATATTAAAGGTGCGACAACGACTCATTTGTACGACAGATGGCCAACTACGAAACACACTATCATAGATTATATGATTGATAAAAGATAAAAAAAAAAAAACTGGAAATAATTTTTGATTAGACAGGTACTAGTACTAATACTACTAGGGGCATTCTATCATAACAGGTGAACCCGGGTTTTGTCGGGATTCTTCGTGTCACTTTCAACATCGGACCTCATAAGTCCATGTGAATCTGCCCCAGGCTAAATAAACCGAATAACAAAAAAAAAAAAAAAATAAGGCAAAACATCGTACCTGAACTCGTGACCTCGTCCGTCGAAAAATTACAAAAAAAAAATATGTTATGAATCAAACCTGTCCAAAGAAATATCCATTATTTAAAAATACGTTAATGGAATTATTTAACATAATAATAATAATAATAATAATAAATTAAATTAAATTAACGCTCTTTTTTGTTTTTTTTTTCCAGCTTCTCTTTTGTCTCGGTACCATTATATGGAGAGCTCTTGATTATGGACTTCAAGAATACGAAGAAAAAAATCTTAGTCCGGATCTCGATCGATTAATTGATCTAATGACGTCTGCTGAGGGTGAGTGAGTGAAAATTTTCAAGGGAGGGGGAATATATATATAAATAATAAAATTATTATTATTATTAATTTTTTAGATGAAAATCCGAATATCCATCAAGAAACAGACGATGAAGGAATCGAAAGAGATTCTGGTGATAACGATGAAGATCCTAGTCTTTCCATGCGATTAGCAACTTTTGATTTAGTCATTAAAGTGAGTTTTAATGAAAATTGACTTTTTTTTTTTTTTTTTTTTAAATATTAAATGGCGGGAAATTATTATTATTATTATTAATATTATTATTATTTTCATTGAAGCATTGCATGGAGAGATTGGGTAAACCGACATCACAACAAGCTGACGCACATTATAGAGCCGTTATCAGAGCCCTTGTTGCAGAAGCATTAGAATTATCAACTTTTCTGGAAAAGGTATCTCAAGGCACGGATGAACTTAAAACTAAGACTGAAACTACTTCGAAAGAATTGGATCAATTGGAATTTTCTGATTGGGTAAATTATTTTTATTATTATTATTATTATTATTACTTTATTTCATAGTCTTATAACAAAACCCTCGTAATAATTTTTCATTCAAAAAATAAATTTTACAATAACTGAGGATAAAAAATAAATAATAAAAGATTTCTTATTGACTAATATTTTTTATTATTCTCCATATTAGACAAATTTAAGGATCTGGCAAGCAATTCAAGTAGGTTTTCTGCTTTTGCACCACACAGGTTCAATAATAATGATTATTATTATTTAAAGTTTAATACTTAATTGGTTTTTTTTTTTTATTTGAATTTATTATTACAGGCCAGATTATGGGTGCAAGTGATAAGGGAACTTAGGAATGGGGTTAAATTAAAAAAAGTTGATTACAACAGGACTCCGATTGAGTTTGAATTAACTCCGTACGAAATTTTAATGGACGACATAAGGTCCAGAAGGTATAAATTAAATAAAATAATGGTCGATGGTGACATTCCTCACAAGGTTAAAAAAGATGCTCATGCAATTATATTGGAATTCATAAGATCGAGACCTCCGCTGAAAAAGGTGAGTGAAAAAACAATTTTTTTTTTTTAAATTTAAATAAAATCAAAGAGAATCGAGCACGTGTTGTTGTTTGTTAATATTAAAAAAAAAAAAAATTTTAATTTTTAGGCTTCGGAAAGAAAGTTAAGACCCGCAATTAGTCGTCCCTCAACTCCTCGGGAAATGTTGTTGGATTCAATTAAACAGGGTCAAACACTTAGACCATCATTGAGTCCGATTAAGAAAAAAGGTAAGACATGTATTTTATTTTTATTATAATAAAATTCACAAGGAAAACCCCCCCCCCAAAAAAAAAAAATTAAAAAAAAAAAAAAACAAATGAATGATTCGAATGAAATGGTAGTTAATAACGGTTGCGTTGCGTTGCTTGTTATTGTATTGCAGCGCCATCTTTTAATTTTATATCGAAACATTTTTTCATTCAATTCAATCAACGTTTTCTTGTAACGGTTAATTAAATTTTGAAAAAAAAAACTTTTTAAAAAAATATTTTTAAATTTACGATAACAATTTATTTGTTTGTTTATTTATTAATTTAAAAAAAAAAAAAAAAAAAAAACTTCAAATCGTTTTTTATTCGTTGGGAAAATTTTTATTTAGATTTACGTTATAGAATTACGTAACAAGTCTTTATTTTTATGACGTCATACAAAAATGCGATAAGAAAAATTACATTTATTTTTTTTAAAAAAAAAAAAAGAAAAATGGCCGTGTAAATAATTTAATGAGTGTGGTTTTTTTTTTTTTTTTTTTTTTTTTTTTTGTTACCCTAACCCCAAAATGCGTACTTTTTTGTTTTTTTTTTTCCTTGGAATTGTTTTATAACGAGGAAAAAAAAAAAAACAAAATGGCGGCGAGTATTTTAAAATAAACAAAATGGCGGCGGACTGGTATCGTCTGCTAATTTAGCGTGGGGAGAATTATTCGTTAGTTGGATCGTGAAGTGAGAAGTAGTAACGTTGGAACTTTTTACTCGTTCGGAGTTATGAGTTTTTTTTTTTTTTTAAATTAAATTCTTTTTTTTTTATTGTGCCATGAGGATTATTTCTGAAGAAAATGGCGTCGAAGGTATTTAAAAAAAAATTTTTTTTTTTTCGAAATTTTTTTTCATCGTGTTTTTAAAAAAAATCAAAGTTAGTAATTAATAATAATAATATTAATAATAATAATATTAATAATAATATTGCAAACATTTTGAAATCTCCTCTCTGGGAAAATGGGAACGTTAAAAACGGGAATTCTTTCGAAAATTTATAACGAATTTTTTTTTTATTTTAAATAAAAATAATTTATAAAAAAGAGAAAAAAACCGTTTAATTTAATATTTAAAATTACGCGCACGATTTGTTTTATTATTATTATTATTATTATTATTATTATTATTATTATTATTATTATTATTATTATTATTATTATTATCATTATTATTATTATTACTATTTTCAATTTTTTACGCGTTTCTAATGCAAAAGTTGAGTTATTTGAAAAAAATAAAATCAAAATTAAATCCTTTTTTATCGTTTAAATACGCGTAAATAATTATGATTTAATTTTGTTTTATCCATTTCGCATTAAATAAATTTTTTTTCTCGAAAATCTAAATAAAAAAAAAATTTTATTTATTTATTTATTTTTTTCTCTCTCTCTCGGTTATTAACAATTCATAACATAAACAAATAGATAGATAAATAAATAAATAAATAACGTTTTTTTTTTTTTTCGATACGTGATAATAATTTTTTATTAAAAATAAATATTTTCTCACGTGAAAAAAAAAAAAATACGCCCCTAAATAATTTAAATATTTTTAAAATGGAGATTTGGGGGGGCCTAAAAATTTACCTTTCATTATTATTATTATTAAATAATAAATTAACATAAAGAAGAATAATAAGAGTTTGATAATAATAGTTTAGTTTCACTTTTCAAAACGTTCGCGGGGGGGGGGGGGGGGTGTAACAACATTATTGTGTATTAATTGATTTCTACGATAAGAAGAGAGAGAGAGAGAGAGAGAGAGAGAGAGAGAGAGAGAGAGTACACCCGCACTCACTCACTCAATCATTCAATCACGAATCCAAAGTGAAAATGTAAAATTATTTTAGGGATTAATAGTAATAATAATAATAATAATAATAATAATAATTTTTTAATTAATCGATTTGAATATTTATTAGAGGTTTATTATTATTATTATTATTATTATTAATAATAAAATCAAGGAAGTTATGAAGTTAATTGCATTCGTCGAAAAAAAAAAAAAAATTTATTAATTTCGAATGTTGAATCATTTTCTCTCTCTCTCTCTTTCTCTCTCTCTCTCTTTCTCTCTCTCTCTTTCTCTCTCTCTCTCTCTCTCTCTCTC